TCCAGCATCTGCAGTTCCTACTATCTCTGATTCAATTTGGTACAGTACTCCTTTTAAAACCCATGTCCAATCTTTCTCATTCCTTTCATCTTTCTCATTTCACCCCGATCCCTTTTCTAGGCCTCACCTCCATTCTTGTACCTCTCATGCATTCCCACAAATACCCTCCCTTCTATTCTATAACCCTATCCCATTCCCCAAGCCCTCCAGCCAATGTCACTGTGTTGCTGAGTTCCCCACCTGTGACCATTAAATCCTCCTGAATCCTGGCTCTCATCAGCTGCTGTGTGACAGGGATATCAGAGGCAGGAAAATTTCCTGCCAGGATGGTGAGTGGCTCAGAGGGGAACTTGCAGGTGGTGGTGTCCCCACGTACCTGCTGTCCTTGTCCTTCTAAATGAAATTTGTTATGGGTTTGGGAGGTGCTGTCTGAGGATCTTTGGTGGATTTCTGCAGGGCATCTTGTAGATTGTGCACACAGCTGCTACTGAGCGTCACTGTTGTTGGAGCTGCACTCATCCAGGCACGTGTGGAGCATTCCGAATCCTGACATGTAGATGGTGGACAGAAATTAGGGAGAGAGGTAGTGATTAACTCACTGCAGGATTCCTAACCTCTGACCTGCTCCTTTAGGTACCGTATTTATATGACTGGTCCAGTTCTGGTTCTGGTCAATGGTATCCCCAGGATGTTGATAGTTGGGGATACAGCAATGGGAATGACACTAAAATAGGAGGTATCGTGGACAGTGAAGATGACACTAAAATAGCCAGTATCATGGACAGTGAGGAAGGTTATCAGAAAAAATGGAATTTAATACAGATAAGTGTGAGGTGTTGCATTTTGGAAAGTCAATTCCAGGTAGGAGTTTCATGATGAATGGTAGGGCCTTAAGGAGTGTAGTGGAACAGAGGGAGCTTAGAGTTCATGTGCACGGTTCTCTGAAAGTGGAGTCACAGGTAGACAGGGCAGTAAAGATGGCTTTTGGCACACTGGCCTGCATCAGTCAGGGCATTGAGTACAGAAGTTGGGAAGTTACGTTGCAGTTGTACAGGACGTTGGTGAGGCCGCACTTGGAGTACTGTGTTCAGTTTTGGTCATAGGAAGAATGTTATTAAACTGGAAAGAGTGCAGAAGAAATTTACAAGGATGTTGCCAGGATTCAAGGGACTGAGTTATAGGGAGAGGTTGGACAAGCTAGGACTTTCTTTAGAGCATAGGAGACTGAGTGGGGAATGTTATAGAAGTGTATAAGATCATGAGAGGCAATGGCAAGGGTGAAAGCACTCAGTCTTTTTCCCAGGGTTGGGGAATCGAGGAGTAGAGGGCATCAGTTTAAGGTGAGAGGGGCAAGAATACATGGGAACCTGAGGGGCAACTCTTTTACACAGAGAGTGGCATGCATTTGGAATGAGCTGCCAGTGGAAGTATTGAGGCGGGTACATTAACAACATTTAAAAGGCATTTGGACAAATACATGGATAGGAAGGGTTTAGAAGGATATGGGCCAAGTGCAGGGAAATGGGGTTAGTGTGGATGGACGTTTTGGTCGGCACAGACCAGTTTGGGCTGAAGGGCCTGTCTCCGTGCTGTAGGACTCTATGACTCTCTAATGCCTAGGGCAATTTCCCTGCCTTCTTCCCTGTTGCCTTTTAAATGTTTCCTTGATGAAGAAATAATCCAATTGCCTTTTGAAAGCTTCAATTGGCTCTGCCTCCTCTACACTCCGAGGCAGCCCATTCCAGGTCCTCTCCCCTCGCTGCGTCTAAACATTTTTTTCTCCTGTCACCATTGCTTCACTGGCCAATTATTTTGAGTCTGTGCCCTCTGTTTCTCACTCCGTCCACTAATGGGACCAGTTTCTCTCTAACTACTCTGTAAGGATTCTTGTGAGTTTGAACTCCTCGATCTAGTAAACCCACCTCCTTGTCTGAAAATCCATGAGTTTTCTCAAAGGGTGAAATACAGAGGGTAAGGCCTCATGACTATCCATGTCATGTGTTTTCATAGACTTTGGCCAGCAAAGCTGTATGCCCCTTGGCAGTGTGGGTGGGTATAATAGGCCAGAATGCAAACAACTGAAAACTGAAAGAAACAGGGCTAATTATGTCCTCCTCATTTTGGTGCCGTTTGTAAATGTTCGAATTACAGATAAAACTACAGTCGCCACGGATGCATGGTCTATTTTTTAACATTGCAGAATACAACTCTGATCCTAGAGGCAAAAGGACATTCTCCTGAAGCCCATAGTGCCCCCAACTCTTTTAACAGCTACATCTTATATTGATATAGCACCTCTGTCGTATGTTTTTAATTAAAAGCTAGATACTATTTCTGTAAAATGTTGGCCTCGGATGCTGAAAAGTATTCTTGTTAAGTATCCCAGCAACTCTATCAGGTAAAGAACCTGCACTTAACTTTAAAATAGGTTTAAAAAAAACCAGGAGATTTCTTAAACTTTGACTATGTTTGACTTTGAACCATGTGAGGAGGTGTTGGATTAAAAGAATAGATTAGATCAACAAGGTAGATTTTGAAAAGCATCTTAGAGGAAGAAGGCAAAGTTAGGAGGAGGAAAAGTGCAGGGAATTCCAGGCCTAGGCAAATAAAGACAACGCCGCAAGTCAGAAACTTTCAAATCCTTATACATTAAAAAGCTGGAATTGATCCTTCAGAGAGACTGCACAGACGCACAAGGTGGGTTGAATGACCTCCTCTTTGTGTTGTAATCTGATTCTGTTGATCCTGTAATACCATGCCCAAGGTGTTATGTGGACATTTGAACATTATTGACCTCACTGTGTTGACAATATCCCATTTTTCTGCCTGCTTTAGGTGTGTCCGTTAGCAACCTCAGTGACAGGGTCTTTGTCATCCACGTTCCCTGTGAGAACAACAATCAGAAAGTAAGGATTCCCAGCTTTCTCATTAATGTTGGGACCCATCTGGACTCGAGTTTAACAATGTAAAATGAGGAAAGTATTGAATCAGATGCTGTCATAAATCCCACCCTATTTTGACTTGCATGGAATTAAATGGAAAGCAAGTTTGGATATGTGTACTATGACTAACTGACTCTGGACTATTTCTGATCAGAATGAACCTGATGGTTTCAATGTTACAATGAGAACAAAAGTGAAAGTAATGTCAAGCGAAGTGGGCAAGTAAAGAAAAATACTTTTCTATACTTTATTCATTTGTGGGATGTGGGTGTTTCTGGATGGGCCAGCATTTATTGCCTGTCCCTAGTTGCCCTTGAGAAGGTGGGGGTGAGCTGCTTTCTTGAACCACTGCAGTCCACCTGCTGTGGGTTGACCCACAATGCCCTTAGGGAGGAAACAAACTAATAATGAAAGGAAATTCAGCAAATATGCTGGACAATACATCAACAGTTTTCAGAATACTTTGGGAGTTTTATTTTGTTGTATGGTATGCATGTTCCTGATACAAAGCAGCCTCTGGGATCTTTAAGGAACACTTAGACCACCACTGCCCAGGGACTTACCCCTCACCCAGTTCTCCGTCATCACCAACAATCCCTCCTACAAGACCCTCCCAACAAACTCCAACCTCATATCCAGCTCTATGCCAATGGGCAACCATGAGCCACACAATTCCTGAAAGATTGCCAGTTTCCCTCGACTAATTTCCCACCCAGAATGGACAGCAAGTGGAACAGCCTTATGGTACTGAGGTCAAGAGCTTAAATTCACTGAGGCGTCATATGGGTTCAAGAGGAACTGATTCCTGTGAATTCCTCATGTAAAGCCTAAGTTAAAATCAACCTCAACACCTTTTCTCTTGGTTATGTTTCCTCATTGCAGCATTAACCCAAGGACTGTTTTGGGAAATTGTCCTAAAACAGCCAAAGTATTATCACAGGATAGGAAATTTAAGCAAAGTTTTCATGATATTATGGGGAACAGATGGGGTAGATTGAGAGAAACTTTTTTTAATTGAAATGGGGAGTCAGACAAGGTTAGACAATCAACAAATCAAGCCAAAGTTTTCAGGAGTGAAAGAAATTTTGACACACCATTTGGAACACTAATTTGCAAATGACAGTAGATTAAGTGTTCATTTTAAGTGTGAGATTGAGAGGCTTTTGTTCGGCATAAGTCATTAGCAGCACAGAAGGACGCCATTTGTCCCATCTAACATATGCTCAATGTTAAGGGATAAGGCCACAGTGGCTACATGGCATTAGGGCACAAGTGGTAAATGGAGCTGGGGCACAGGAGGTCTGTGGAGTTTGGGCACAGGAGGTCCATGGAGCTGTGGCACAGGAGGTCTGTGGAGCTGGGACATGGAGGGTACATGGAGCTAAGGCACAGATTAAGCACGATCTCGCTAAAAGACATAATGGGCTCAAGGGTTTGTTTCTGTTCCTACTTCCCTGGGGCTGGTGTCCTTAAATCCTCTTTCCTGTAACCCTAACCCTACTTCCAAGGAGCTAGTGTCTTCAAATGCTCTTTCTAAAGGTATCCATCCTGCCTATGGTCAGGGAGGTGAGTAATTTTATATAGTACCCAGTGTCATTCTAAACCAGTTCATGAAATGGCTACCGTTAGTCTGTTGTAGTGAAATTGATGGAAGTTTGATTGATCAACAAGTTCATTAGTGCCACCGCCAGCACATGGTCTTTTCTTTTATAAATTCCTATATGACCTAAACCAATCCCCTTTCTTCCTGACTGAGGGAATGAAGAAAGATTTCACCCTCTCAATGGCTGAGTTCAGGAATTCAACCATGTAGTGAATTACAAACGTGCTACGAAATTCTCTGTCCCCAGTCCCTCAGGAGCTGGCAGTCAGAGAAGAGAGCATGGTGGGGGCATTATGCCTTTGGCATACTCACTTCTGTTGGTATTTTACAGGGAGCAGGGTAGGAATAGGGCAATGTACCCAACTTGAGATCTTGGCTAATTAATGGCCACTTAAAGTCACTGGTATTCAGTCAATGCAGGGTGCCCATATCAGATGGCAAGACCAGCCTGGCAGCCTTGTTGGGAATGGTCCCTCTCGTTTGGGCACCCTGAGCGCAATAGACAACCCACCTGTAGTGGTTCAACATCCTCACTGTGCCATCCCATGGCAGCACACCCACAACCCTATGCCAGGGTCTGCCTGACTAACCCTGATGCAACCCCTCCTCCCCCCTCCCCTCCTCTCCCACCACTCACTTCCTTATCTGACTCCAGTGACAGTCATCATCGGAACCAGCTGCAGTCCCAGCAATGGCCTCCCCGCCTGGTGGCGCTAATAGGACTATGGAGCTGCTGGTCCATCTTGTCCAAGCCAATTAATGGCCCAACAGCTTTTCAAACAGCTCAGGGATTTCCAGCCAAGGAGAAGTGGGAAATCTCACCATGGATGTGGGGCAGCACAGTGGCTCAGTGGTTAGTACTGCTGCCTAACAGCACTGGGGTCCTGGGTTTGATTCCAGCCTCAGGCGACAGTCTGTGTGGAGCTTGCACATTCTCCCCGTGTCGGCGTGGGTTCCCTTTGGTACTCCGGTTTCCTCCCACAGTCCAAAGATGTGCAGGTTAGGTGGATTGGCCTTGCTAAATTGCCCATAGTGTCTAGGGATTTGCAGGCTAGATGGATTAACCATGGGAAATGCAGGGTTAAGGTAGAGCATTGGTGTGGATTCAATGGGCTGAATGGCCTGCTTCCACACTGTAGGGATTCTGTCCAAGAAGTGGTGCCACTACCTCCATGTGAAATTCTGCCATGCTTTCTGCTGTGGCACACATTACTGAAGTTAAAGTCCTTTGCCATGTGAGGGAGTTTGGTGGAGGTGGGTCATCCACTAGGTATTGTCCTGACTGTCTGTCTGTCTCATGCATGCAGGGCGATGTCATTCTACAGTGTGACTACGTGTTTGAGACAGTGACCAAACTCTGTACAATGGCCAGCAAGCAAAACAGTTTCAAAATTGTCCAGGGCAGGTAGGTACAAAAATAACCACTCAGGGGTGCAGATATATTACATAAACACAGATAACACTGGAGAAATTCAGCAGGTCAGGCAGCATGCATGAAGACAGAAATATGTTTATCTGTACGACTCCACTTCAGAAAGACTGCTTTATCCCCAATGTCTTCAGTTCTGAAGAAGAGTCATAGTGGACTCAAAACTTTAACTCCGTTTCTGTCTCCACAGATGCTGTCAGACCTGCTGAGTTTCTCTAGCACTCATTGTGTTTTTCAATTCAATATAGCACAGGAACAGGCCCTCTAGCCCACGAAGACTCAAGTTTGTTTTTGATTTCTAGCATCTTGTTACCCGCTCCAGTCCCTGGCTTTTATCTGCCAGAGGAAGGCACCAAAATAAAAGGTGTTTAACTGTGACAACAGTTTGGATAGACTCAACTTGGATGCCCTTGAGGGTACAAGTCAGAGGAAAGATCTAATGAAGTGTTAAAGACATTTAGAATAGATAGAGTGAAACTCTGGGGAGTCCACATCAAAAGGACAAAGTTAGGGCTGGGCCATTCAGAGATAATGTCACTTCTTCACACAAGGGGAAAGGAGGATCTGGAACTCTTCCCTTCAATAAAAAAAATTAAGGCTGAGGCTCCGTGAGAGTTTCTAATTTGAGATAGATTTGTGTCAGACAAGGGCATTAAGGATTGTGGAGTGAAGCAGAGTGGACTGGGTTAATACAATCAGACTGAGCGACAGAACAGGCCCAGAGGGGTGAGTGGCCTGCTTCTGTTCCCATGTTCTCCTGCACAGGGTCTGTGACAAATCAATCTGCGTTATTCTGATGTTTAGATTGTATGGTAGACATTGAGCAGTAATAGGCTTGGCTGAACCCTGGCAGCCTTTCTGAATCCAGAACACTGTCCTTCATGTGCCTGGGTTTGACCCAGGTACGCAAACCCAATATCTCTCTGCACAGGTACTTCACAGCAGCAACGTTGGATAAAGGTCAGGAGGAAGAATTTTGGCCAGTTTGGCCCCTTCCTAGCTCCGAAGCATTCAGGCCAATTGCATTTCCCAACCATTGTCCTGAGTAATTCCAGCTAAAACAGCATAGGCTCAGATTTCCCAGGACAGTTCTTTAATTTTCCAAACAATTAGCTGACTTGGAGGCAAAGATCTCGTGTTACTTGTCACTCAGTCGGTAGTGTCCCTCTCTCCGAGCCAGAAGCTCCAGTTGAAGTCCCACCTCAGCACTCAGCATAACGTGACCAAGCAGGCTGAGTGTCAGAGTTGAAATCTTTCCAATGTGTGCCTGTGGCAGGCAGTGAAAGCTGGAGAGGTGCCTGGACAAGACATGTGATGGAAAGGAATTAGTAGTCTCTACCATCACCATCCATAGCTCCAGGCTATGACACACAGGTCAAAGTTCATGTTACCACAGCAACTGGGATTCTGTGGGGACCGGCGGTACGGCCTGCAGGGGACAGGTTGGTGCCAAAACCTCAGAGTTTGAGCTCCGTCCAAGCTGGGGTAGACTGGGGACCTGGTGGAGGTAGGTGGTACTGTGGATCAGACCAACTTTCACAGAGTCATAGAGCTGTACAGCATCGAAACAGACTCTTCAGTCCAACTGCTCTATGCCGACCAGATGCCCACAATAAATTTAGTTCCATTTGCCAGCATTTAGCCCATTTCCTTCTAAACCCTTCCTATTCATGTCCCCATCCATTTGGTCTGTTTAATGATGTCAAAGGTGTCGTCTACATAGCGTATCCATAGTTTAGGTTGGATTTGCATGCAGAGACTAGAAAGGACTGCCCTTCCGCAAATCCAACCTAAACTACGGATACGCTACGTAGATGACACCTTTGTCATCATTAAACGGACCAAATTAGAAGAGACACACAAACTCATAAACAACACCCTCACTGGAATAAAATTCACCAGAGAGGAGGAGAAGAACAAACAATTTCCATTCCTGGACGTCATGGTAGAGCGCAAGACAAATGGGGAACTCCAAACGAAAGTACACCGAAAAGCCACACACACAGACCAGGTACTGAACTTCAATAGTAACCATCCCAGCACACACAAACGAAGCTGCGTGCGAACACTATTTAAAAGGGCAACAACACACTGCAGCAACACGGAACTACGCCAAGAGGAGGAGGAATACCTCTTCCAAGTGTTCAAGGATAATGGATATCCAAAGAACTGGGTCAGGAGATGCCTACAGGAACAGCATCAGAAAGATTCTACACGCCCCAACACACTCATCACACTACCCTACATCAGGAACATGTCAGAACTCACCACAAGACTTCTACGACCGCTGGGCATCAGAGTGGCACACGAGCCCACATCAACCCTACAACAAGTGCTCGCCCGAACTAAAGACCCACTCCCCGCCATGGACAGGACCAATGTCATCTACAAGATCCCCTGCAGAGACTGCGAGAAACACTACATCGGACAAACAGGAAGGAAACTAACAACAAGAGTACATGAACACCAACTGGCTACAAAAAGACACGACCAATACTCACTCATCTCAATCCACATGGACAAGGAGAACCACGACTTCGACTGGGACAACACCAAGATCCTGGGACAGGCTAGGCAGAGACAAGCACGAGAATTCCTGGAAGCATGGCACTCCACGAAGCATGCTATTAATAAACACATTGAACTCAATCCCATATACATTCCACTACGGAGGAAACCCAGAAGTGAGGCAATCCATCGCAGTGGACCCCAGAGTTAAAAAACCAGGTGGGAAAACACACCGACGCTTCATCAGAGGCTGCACTGAGGATGTTACCAAGCACGGTAACAAAACGTTTGCAGAACAACAAACCAGCTCGGCAAGCCAACCAACCTCAACACCCACAACCCGAGCTACAGATCTACTCCAAAACCTTAAATGTCTGAAAGTCTTGTATCAACAGTGGAGTGGGGAATCTGAAACAAAGTATTACAGCAGCTTTGCAATAAATTCAGAAAAGGTGTTGCATATTGTGTCTAGTTTTTGTACTCTTCTTAAGTATTTACCATTCATATGTATATACACAATAGTTTCATGAAGTTTTAATATCTTACTCTGTTTCTAAATGTTCCTATTTCAGCTTGAAATTCATGATTCAACCGGGCAAGGAAGGTATTGTTGATTTCACCTTGGGCCATGAATCACAAGTCTTTAAAGGCAAGAATGGTCACCTGATGGTGGTAAGGATTTCTGTCAGTGTTATTGGAACAGAAGGATTTGATTGAAATGTTAGCACTGAGAGACTGAGTCCCCACTCTTGGTACAAGGAAGAATCAGGCAGGTCATTTACTCTGCTCCTGTGCAGAGGGAGGTAGCAGAGGGAGAGAGGGATATTAGACGAGATGGACTAGCTGACTCGCTATGAAATCCTGAGTCTGCTCCAGCCTTTGTAAACTGTCCAATAGCAAGCGTCAGTGAGATGTTTCAGAGGACACAGTGACAGTAAATGTGCCAGAAACCTTCTAATTGTGAAAACATCGAATTGGTCACCTATAAATCTTGGCTTTTTTGCGTGAGAGTATTCCACAAATTGCACTAGCAGGAGTCTCAGTAACCAAATGACAAAAGTTCAGGTAAATGGCTAAAGGATCAGAGGGGAGATGAGGAGAATTTTACTTGATGCTGTGAGTTGTTATGATCCAGAATGTACTAGAAGGTGATACAATGGGAACTTTCAAATGGGTTAGGATATAGATCAGGAAAGGAAGTATATTTGATGCCATGTGGAAAGACTGGAGCCATAAGATTACTTTGATAGCTCTTTCAAAGAGTAGGTCCAGTCACAATGGGCCAAATGCACATCCCAAGTCGCTTCACAAATGCAAACACCACAGATGCTGGAAGTCTGGAATGAAAACTAGAAGGAAATGGAGGAGCACTCAGTGAAGCAGCTGCAGAGGGAGAAACAGAGTTAATGTTTCAGGCTATCAGGACCTCCTTGATCTTTCATCCCAAATGTGGATTCCTCAGATCCGGAATTATCTCACTCGCTCACATCAGTGGGGCAGGTGGTGGACCAGGACTTCTTACAGTAGAGGTACTTCCTGTTTTGATTTTTACCCTATCTCTGTTTCTTCAACCCATTCACAATCTTAAAGTCTTTGACTGCAGCAACTTGTATTTACAACAGCATGAGAAATTGGAGCGGGAGTCAGCCATTTGGCCCTTCGAGCCTGCTTTCCCACTCAGTAAGATCATGACCCGTGTTTTACAACCAATCCACCTTTACACCATCCCCACAACCTTTAATTATTGTTAGCACCGACAAATGTACCAACCTCTGTCTCCATTGTAACAGTGATATGATCCCTCAGCAAATAAACTGGCCAAATGTCAATAGCTGTATTATCAAACAAAATATACCACAGTGCTACTTAAGGGTGGATAACCACAAGTTTGGTGAGGGTTCATTTTAAGGAGCTTCTTAAAGGAGGAGAGGCAGAAAGGTTTATTCCAGAGATTTAGAACCCAGGAAACTGAAGGCAAGGCTACGACTGATGGAGTGTATAAAATCAGAGACACTCAAGAGATCAGAATTGGAGGGCAACTGAATCTGGGGGAGTTTGAGGGATCGGGAAAGTTTCAGAATGGCAAGGCAATGGAAGGAAAGGATGAGAATGGAGAGTGGAATGTAGACGCGGGCTGGGAATTGGCCCAGACTCGCAGGCTGAGCCAAGGCTCCAGGTCCGCAACTAGGCCTGGGCAACTGAAGGAGCGGAAGCATGGGCAAAGTGATGGCGGAAAACCCCTGGTGACCAACGACCGGCGGCAGGGTCTGGAGGAGGGTCGGATAGGGAGCAGGAGGTGTGGAATCCACACATCCCCAGGTCCATGGCTCCAGTTCGGACACAGCCATCATGATTGTGGTGGCGGGGCCTGTTTTAGAGGCCCAGGAGTGTGTTTCAGAGACCCTGGCCAATGTCAAGCAATGACTGGAGGAACAGCAGAGGAGGAACAAAAAGAGAGAAAGATGAACCCTATTGCAGCAAAATCCCGCATTATATTCAGCGTTTCAAGGTGGTGCCGTGGCATGGCAACACTTTGCATTTAATACATGAAAAGACACACATGGCAATAAATCTAAAGCAAATCTAATCCAATATGTTGGAATGGTCAAGTCAAAAATTAACAAAGGCATGGAGGTGGGTATCAGCAGTGTGTCAGCTGAACTTTAGCTAACATTTGATGATGTTACGGAGGGAGAACAGACAGAATTTGTAACGCTAGAGATATGTGGTTAAACATGACAGCAAGTTAACACACATCCTGGTTTATACCCCAGACAGTTACCAGGGAGAAAGCTGGAGATAGTGGCAGGGGAATGGAATTTGTAATGAAACCAAAGACAACGCCTTCGGCCTTCCCAATATTTTGAGTGTGAAAACATTTGCCATTCCAGGTTTTGAACAAGCAGTCTGAAAATTTACCGATACCGGAAAGTTTGGAAGAAGTGGAGATGAGGGAGAGCTGGGTGTCATCAGCTCTTATAAATACAAGTGAAAATTGGCATTGTGTTTTTGGGGAATGTCGCTTCGGGTCAGCAGATGAGAAGGAGAAGCTGAGAATGATAAAGCCTTGGGGGATATCAGAGGTAACAGTGCAGGAGTAGATCAGTTCAGAGTGCTGTCATTTTTCAAAAGCAGTAAACTAATCTTCTGTCCCTCATTGACCTGGGATGGGTTTATCATTTTGAACTGTCACCATGTTTTGGTTGACTTGCTCTACTTGAATGTCCCCATTTTACATAACCAGCCCAATACAGTGACACTCTGAGCAGATCTGGAGCATTGTGGCTCCCTGACCAGAGCTTAGGGTCCCAAAACTAAGAATTATGAAGCCCAAAACAAACATAGACATGCACGGGAATTGCTAGAGGCATGGTTCTCCACCCATAATGCAATCAACAAACATATAGAATTGGACCCCATACACAAACTCATACAGAACAAAACCGGAAATGACAGTACTCACTATATCGAACCAGACAGTATAAATTCCAAGTGGAGTAGAACAACATCGCTTCATTGGAGGCCTCACTGGTGATGTTACCTAGCATGGTGATGAAACGTCTGCAGGATAACAAGCCAGCTCGGTGAGCAAGTCAACAACCTCACCCACAACCCGAGCTACAGATCTTTGCTAAAACCTAAAAGTTTAATATCCAGTCTGAGAGTCAATGAGCTGAACATTGGGTGTAAACGCTAATGCTTATTGAATATTAATTTTGGCAGGGCTGTCAATAATAAGCTGTCTCTGTTTTCCTTTTCACAGATGACCCCGAGGGTAAAGTCCCGATGACCTTCCATTATTATTCATCTGTTTTTGTTGATAAATTTCAAGGGAAGTAGCAACTCCTGCAAGTTCCAGAAGTATTCATTGTCTAACCAGGTTATCCACTCACTGATACGTCACTGTGTGGTCCTTTCATCTCATACAGTGTAGGTCAGGGCTAACGGGCTTGTCTGATACAATCTCATTGCCACAAGCCATTACAGTGCCTGCTAGCCTGAAGCACCGGGATATAAAAGGGACTTGATTCAATGAATGAGGGTATATCTTGGTAATGGCAGTGTGTGAGATCTGCTACACAAATTCAGAATGTTACCCACCAATCCTCACCCTGTCCTGCCAGCTGATTGCAGCCAGAATGGTGTTCTAATTATATCCAACATCACTGGGCCAGAACAGGAAGATTTACAGTCCTGTGGCTGTTGTTTTGTGCAATGACTCATGGTATAAAGTTGCAGTGTCATTGTGGAGAAATTTAAAGAAACACATTAGGATTTTAAATTTCAGATGTTGAAGGTTAGCCAATGCATGCCAGGGATAGGTCAGTGAGTCTTAGTCTGGGGCAATATGAGGTGATGTTGAATCAGGGTGGGGGTCTCTCCCTGCTTGAATCATTGCACCAAAAGGACACCCGATGGACTCCCATCCAAACATCCCTCTTGGGTCATCAGGACATGAGCATGGGTCACCAGTCATGCTGTGAGAGATTAGTCCAGAGAGGAATGTGTCACCTGGTCTAAGTTGGGTGTGGAGAGCTGACAGGGAGGGAGGGGCCAGGTTTCATGCAGAATAGGGCAGCAGTTGGCAGTCCTAATAGGAAGCCAGAAGAATGCTTCTACATTCAGCTGATTAAAAACATGATTTCTTACCTGTTTTGCTGGTGGCTGTGAATTGTTTCTTACTTGAGAGCACAGGTCATGGCTTCTGGTCAACTGGCAACCATTTAGCCTCAAGTAGCCTGGATTGGTGTTAGGTCTCTGATTTTCACACTCAATGGCTCTAGAACAAGCCATGACAATCATTCCCTAACCTACATAGTGCACGGAGGATATCAGGCACAGAATGAGTAGGCATGTGCCTATCTTGTTGTCTTAAAGGTGATTACATTTCAGAGTCTTTGTTCTTCTGACTGTGGCCTCTTGTCCTCCCCTCATTGGTTACAGCCTCTGGAAATGGGGAGGCAATGCCTAATGGTCTTATGTCTAGACTATTAATCTGGGGACCCAGGTTCAAATCCCACCATGGCAGGTGGTGGCATTTGAATTCAAATTTGAAAGGGGGAGAAATAAAGTGTCTAATAACCATGCAGCCATTGCCAATTACTGGAAGAAAAACCCAATTGGTTCATACGGTCCTTTATTGAAGGAAATCTGCCATCCTTACCTGGTCTGGCCTACAGGTGACTCCAGATTCACAGCAATGTGTTGACTCTTCACTTCCCTCTGGGCAATTACAGATGGGCAATAAATGCTGGCCAAGTCAGTGAAGGCCACATCCTGTGAATGAATAAACACAAATTCCTCCTGGAACCTCTTCTTCTCTAATCATCCACCCCACTTTCTCCAAATTGATGACAACTTTCCCAATGATGATCTTTGACAGAATTTGGGACCTCTTTTTGCATTAAGACTAAGACATAAATAAATGTAAGTTGTTGGCTTCCATTGTGGTCTATCTTTCTTCCTGATAAAATAGAAATTAAACACCATTGCTATTCAAATTACATTTTATTGTGATGTGAAATAACATTAGATTTGTTTAAGATGCTTGGCTAAAGGTCATTTCTGGGGAACAGCTCACTACGAAGGTGAAAAGCATGAGAAGGTGGATCTATTAACTTGTATCATCTTTAATCTGTGAAAATGTGACAAAACAGAATATGTATTATCCATGTGAGTAATCAACTGTATTGTGTACCTTATAGGAATGAGTGTACATAATGATTGTTCTCTTTAGATAAATAAAAATGTAATTATGCTTTCTAGAATCATACATTTATTATTTTTAGTACTTAGCAGTTTATTTATTTTTAAGTAATATTTTCAAACTTAAATGTAATGTTGGATTTGTTTTCTGAAGAAAGTTAGGATTGTGGAGTCAGATTAATCAGAGATTTCCTTTCGTCATTCTTGGGTTGTGGGTGTTGTTAAGACCAATATTTATTGTTCATCTTAAATGCCTTGAAAAAGTGTTGGTGAGCCATCTTCATGAGCACAACTGACTGGCTTACTAGGCCATTTCAGAGGCCAACTAAGAGTCAATCACATTGCTCGGGGTCTGAAGTTACATGTAGGCCAGAACAGGTAAGAATGGAAGATTTCCTTCTGTAAAGCCCATTATCATAAAACCTCAATTGTCTTATTAATCTGGTACTAGTACCAGCATTATATTCGAGATTTATTTAACTAAATGAATTTAAATTTATAACCTGTTGCTGTGGAATTTCAATTTCTATTTCCAGATCATTAGTACAGGATCCAAATTATTAATGCAGTCTTTGGTGACAACTTTTTGTCTCATGAAACAATGGTTTCTGTTGTCATAGTCAACTCTGTGTTAGATAATGCCTAGTGGCATTTTTGTGGTTTTTCTATACATTAGCCTATATTATATATACACACATCATAGAAACTAGGGTTGCTATTGAGCCAAATATCTGGAAATTTATTAACAACTAAATATATATATATATACACACAAACATGACATGTTTATATTCTTATTTGACTATGACATATCTAGTTGCCTGGCTGACTAAGAGTAACCAACAGATTGTAATAAAGCCAAGAACTGCGGATGATGGAGGTCTGAAACAAAAACAAGCTACTGGAGAAATTCAGCAGGAGGCATCAAGAAGCCCTAGCAAAACTGGAATCAATGGGTAGCAGGTGTAAATTCTCCCCTTTGGGAGTCATTGTTGACACATAGGAAGATGGTCATGCTTGTTGGAGGTCAGTCATGTCAGCTCCAGGACATCTCTGTAGGAATTCCTCAGGCTAGTGTCCTAGGCCCACCCAATTCAGCAGCTTCATCAACAATCTTCCCTCCATCATCATAAGGTCAGAAGTGGGGATGTTCACCGATGATTGTACAATGCTCAGCACCATTCATGACTCCTCAGATACTGAAGCAGTCCATTTTCAAATGTAACAAGATCTGAACAATATCCAGGCTGGGGCTGATAAGTGGTAAGTAACGTCACACCACACAAATGCCAGGCTATAGCCATCACTAATAAGAGACAATGTAACCATCACCCATTGACATTTGATTGTGTTGCCATCACTGAATCCCCCACTATCAACATCCTTACTGTTATCGTTGACCAGAAACTCAACTGGACTCACCACATAAACACAGCGGCTACAACAGTAGGTCAGAGGCTAGGAATACTCCAGCGAATAACTCAATTCCCGACTCCCCAAAGCCTGTCCACCATCTACAAGGCACAAGTCAGGAGTATGACGGAATACTCCCCACCTGCCTGGATGAGTGCAACTCCAACAATACTCAAGAAGCTTGATACCATCCAGAACAAAGCATTCTGCTTAGTTGACACCACATCCACAAAGTATCCACTCCCTCCACCACTGACCCTCAGTAGCAGCAGTGTGTACTATCTACAAGATGCGCTGCAGAAATTCACCAAAGATCCTGAGACAGCACCTTCCAAACCCATGACCACTTCCATCTAGAAGGTCAAGGGCAACAGATACATGGGAACACCACCAACCGCAAGCTCCCCTCCAAACCACTCACCATCCTGACTTGCAAATATATCACTGTTCCTTTACTGTCCCCAGATCAAAATCCTGGAATTCCCGCCCTAAGGTCAATCTACAGCATATAGATCGCAGTGGTTTAAGAAGGCAGCTCACCATCACCTTCTCAAGGGCAAATAGGGACAAGCAATAAATGCTGACCCAGCTAGTAACCCCCATGTCTCACGAGTGAATTTTAGTAAAGGGTGTGGCAGCATCTGTGGAGATAAAGCAGTCAACATTTCACATCCAGTGACCCTTCATGTGAAATGTTGATTTTTGCTTTCTCTTCCCAGGTGCTGGCAGATCTGCTGAGTTTCTCCAGCAATTTCTGTTTTTGTAATTGACAGATTGACTGCCAACTGAATGCACAGACAGTGAGATGGCTACCTCTTAGCATGGAGCAACACGTTGTGATGTCATCTGCTGTCTTGAAGTTCTGAGGTATAGGTAACATTACAACATCCCTTTCCTTCCCTTTAAAGAATAGAAAACCTATTCTGAAAAATATATACCAAGATGTACATTGGTCCATTATCTTTATACTTTGAGATAATACTTTGGCAGATGTACAACACAACAGCATCTCATGCAGTTATCATGACCCCACCCGCTTAGCTTCACACCACATCATTTTAGTTGTGTACATATCATTTGTCATGGAGTTTTACTTATTGTCTGGTATGATACTCCCAATAATGAAATCAGGCCTGATGGGTGGTTCATCATGTACAACTTGGATGTTGGCTGTTTTTGTAAGATTTCTCCATTATTTGTGACATCATGTGACCTGGGCTAGACAGAACAATAGAGTGGATGTGCCTGAAAATCTCAAATTCAAATACTTTATGGAAGGACTAATATCGTTGGGACAGCTGCATGCTCAGTGATCAAAGGCTCATGTATTCTCTCCCTTCTTTCCAACTATTCATTGTGTAGTTGTAGTTGGGTGGTAAGAGTGTGGTAGAAAAAAGCTGTTTGTTCTGTCTTTGAAACACAAGAACTCCCAGTGAGGGCAGACCATTGTCTTGAGGAGTAGTATGTAGCTATAATGTGGCTATCTGAGAATCTTGGCGAGGAGCTTTACATTTATGACAGTGGACTTTACCACACAGAGAGTACATTCTAAGAGACTGTTAGGTTAAGGATAGTGAGGAGAATGGGTAATGTATTGAATACTTTTTTTATTCACTCGTAGGACACAAGTGTCATTGGCTGGGCCAGCATTTATAGCCTGTCCCTAGTTTCCCTCAAGAAGACCATGGTGAGCTGCCTTCTTGAACTGCTGAAGTCCATATGCTATAGGTAGATCCAGATTGTCCCTATGGAGGAAATTCCAGGTTTTTAACCCAGTGACAGTGAAGGAACAGCAATATATTTCCAAGTCAGGATGGTGAGTAGCTTGGAGGGGAGCTTGCAGGTGCTGGTCTTCTCGTGTATCTGCTGCCCTTGTCCTACTCGATAGAAGTGGTTGCAGGTTTGGAAGTTGCTAAGGATCTTCAGTGAATTTCTGCAGTGCATCTTGTAGATAGCACACACTGTTGCTACGGAGCATCAGTGTTGGAGGGAATGGATGCATATGGATGTGGTGCCAATCAAACAGGCTGCTTTGTCCGGGACGGGGTCGAGCTTTTTGAGTGTTGTTGGAGCTGTACCCATCCAGGCAGGTGGGGAGTATTCCATCACACTCCTGACTTGTGCCTTGTAGATGGCAGACAGGGTTTGGGGAGTCAGGAGGTGAGTTACTCGCCAGAGTATTCCTACCTCTGACTTGCTCTTATAGCCACTGTGTTTATGGGTGAATCCAGTTGAGTTTCTGGTCAATGATAATCACCAATATGTTGATAGTGGGGAGAATCAGTGATGGTAACACCATTGAAAGTCAATGGGTGGTGGTTAGATTATCTCTCATTGGAAATGGTCACTATTTGGCATTTGTGTGGTGTGAATACTACTTACCACTTGGACAGCCCAAGCCTGGATATTGTCCAGATCTTGTTGCATTTGAACATGGACTGCTTCAGTATCGGTGACATCACGAATGGTGCTGAACATTGTGTAATCATTAGCAAACATCCCCACTTTTGATCTTACAATGGAGGGAAGGTCAGTGACAAAGCAGCTGAAGATGGCTGGGCTTAGGACACTACCCTGAAGAACTCCTGCAGAGATGGCCAAGAGCTGAAATGACTGACCTCCAACCACAACCATCTTCATACGTGCCAAATATGACTCTAATGAGCATACAGGTGTCCCCAGTGCCAATTTATTCCAGTTTTGCTATACATGTTTCCTGTACACATCTTGCAAGCATGTGCTGTGCGCAACATAATTTTCCAGCTACTTGACCTTTACCATAAGACATTGAAAATAATAGCATTCACAGTAACTACCAATGATTAATAGCTGCCATCCAATCTACACATGCTCTCCAAATCAAACCAGACACCTGCACAAATCTCCAGCTTCATAACGCAGTTGTTCATTTTCCAAACTTCAACCTCCACCGCCCACAACTGCTTCCAAATCTAGTAACTGAATTGATTTGTTTAATAACTATAGAATCCCGACAGTGTGGAAACAGGCCCTTCAGCCCAACAAGTCCACACTGAACCTCAAAGCTTCCCACCCAACCTACACATCCCTGAACACTATGGGCAACTTAGCACAGCCAATCCACCTAGCCTGCACACACGCTTGGACTGTGGGAGGAAACCCACGCAGACAAGGGGAGAATGTGCAAACTCCAGACAGTTGCCCGAGGGTGGAATCGAACCCGGGTCCCTGGCGCTGTGAGGCAGCAGTGCTAACCACTGAGCCACCATGCTGCCCTTTAAAACAATTATTTAAGGCCAATGAGTTAAGACTATTGAATCCTAATCCTTTCCAGTTCACACAGCCCAATGTTCAAACGCACTTTAAAATTTATTGCAAGACCGGGTGTTAGGGAGTTACAGTACAGTGAATCTGTCACTTTTTTGTACCAGTATTCCCAGAGATACAGTTAGTGGTCAATGTCCCTACATTCCTTCTATGACATGGCAGACAGGAAAGCCTCCAGCTGGCATGTGCTAAAAAAGATTTGCAGGGCAACACTATGCTTGGCTCTCCTTTGAGCTCATCTTCCACGGCCATCAAGACCTGGAGGCAGAAGAAGCTAGAGCTTTTGGCTCAGAGGCAGGGACACTACCCACTGCATGACAAGACTTTCTCATCTCGAATCTACAGGGAAGATAAAAATCTAGGTAAACACTTGATGAAACTGCAAAAGAGGAGATAACTGGGTTGCAATGAATGCAGCAATGTCTGAGATTTCACTAATAAACTGACCTCGGAACACGATGCAGAAATGACACCTGGTCAGAGGTACTGTATTTTAAACAGACATTAAACTCACTTTTGTTACTACAAAAAGTGAATGTAATAGATCTGATGGTCTGAGACACAAAACATCCTGACAGGTACTTCAGCACTATTTATGTAATTTAGGAAGCTTGCTTTGCCTAAACCATAAGTAACTACCAGTTCAGAAAAACACACAGTCTGGATTGTCAGAAATATCTCATGGCCAAAATGGACATGGAGGATACTTTTCAAATGTAAGTAATTTCTCTCATTGAAGTCATGAACACTTACATCAAAAATGCTCAGTAATGAATTAACTCAGAAGTAGTAAAAGCTTTTATTTAAAACATATTTACAAGTCGATGTCAAAGCAGTTTACAGCAAACAGAACATTAAACAGATTAATGAATGCACAGACATATTTACAATGAAATTACAATTTAAAAGCTTCCAGTCATGGACTAAACACATGACATTGTGGAAATTCTGTAGCTAAGAGGATATTAACTACACCCGAACATTCATTGGCCATCGGAACAAAAGAAAAATAATCGATCTGATCTCTTCAGTGAGCACTACTGTTCCAGAGATTCAACACAACTATCCAGTAATAAAAAGGCCCCTTTAGCCATTTAACAAAATCAGGAATCCTGCCCAGCTTGGGGTCATGAGAAATCTTCAGTGATCAGTGTCGTTAGGGCCAGCAGGCTCCCAGGAACACACACACACTCCTGATCGGGCTCACAACAGCGTCCAATCGATGGGTGTCTTTCCAGATTTCTTCAGCAATTCGTTGGTTTTGGAGAAGTGTTTGCAGCCAAAGAACCCTCGGTGCGCAGACAGTGGAGAGGGATGAACCGTTTGCAGTACATGGTGACGTTTCTGCAACAAAACGGCAATCCCAGTTAGAGTGTGAAAGGATATTAGTGCATGGGGTGGGATAATATTACTGCATGGAGCCTTGAGGGACTCTCACTGCATAGTGTCACTAAATGTCTCTCAATCAAGCAACTGTGTACACAGTATGGCATCACATATGACAAATAAAGCAACGTTAGTATCATCCATTGTTCAGATTGTCACCACTGGAGATCTCCATGCACAAACACAAGCTCGATAGGGGTGGGGAAAGAGCAAGGGCAGCAGTCACAACCACACAAATGCAAACAAGCGATCAGAACCAACAAAAAGATTCCCTTTACTGGCACTCCCTTTCTCTCCATGCAGCTGTGTCCCAGGAATCACACAGTGAGAAACTGCTCAGATCTAGAAGGGGCAAAAGTTATACAAAGTTGCTCGCACAAAGCAAAGAGTTTAATCCATCTTTTGGAGGAGACCCTTAACCAGGGCACCCCTTCACGCCAGATAACTGGTCCTGAGGTACATTACTGCTTCAGCCACATCGATTAAACTGACCCCCTACGGAATTGCTCTTTACCCAGATTTGCTATGTACTGTTTGGCTCTCACTGTTACCACACTTCCCAAGGGATTAATAGATTGAAGTACTTCTGGCACATCCAAGGAATATGAAAGACGGTACATAAATGCTGGTTTTCACAAGGGCAAAGCCTTCCCCGGAGGGTGGGTTTCAAACTCCTTACCCTGTTGATTGCACTGCCTTTGCGCTGTGCGTACGCTCCCCACAGCATGAACACCAAGCCATCCAGTTTGTTATTCAGACATGACACAACCGCATCTGTGAAATCTTCCCAGCCGTGCTCCTTGTGAGAGTTTGCATTATGTGCTCGCACGGTGAGGACCGCATTCAGCAGCAACACTCCTGTTTCAATCCCCGCAAAAAAGAAAAAAAAAGAAAATTAGGAAAGGTCTGGTTAGTCTGATACACAAACTGCTAAACTACTCTGCCATTTGCTGACTCTAATTCTTCACCATCCCCTCAACTTCTATCAGCAAGCCAGGTTTTAATTTTTTTTTTTTTTAAAACCCCAAAAAGATACTTTTACAGATTTTATGAATAAAGTATAATAGGTTGTTTCAAATTTGGCATTTGTAGAAGTGCAACTCAGTTTTTTTCATGACCCTATAGCAAGCCACTTGAATTACAGGTTGATTTACAGTTGTAGTGCCCAGACAACGCAATAGATCTTAAATGGTCTTTCATTAAAGTTGCATTTTTGCCAGGTTTTAAAAACGACCAAACACAGAACGAGCAAGGTGACAGATTTCAGAAATTTCCAGCAACTACCAGGACAAGTGAACTCCTGTTTTCGTGGATGTTATATGGCTTGCATTACCAGAACATTCCATCCAAGTTTATGCAAAGAGCTAGTAGACAAGATGTCTATCTCAGCCAGTTTGGAACAAAGCAGACATTGATACTCATTATGGCTTGATTTGGTACAAATGGATTCCACAGTAATCTGCTACTAAACAATGGTTTCTGACAAGGGGCCATGTCAAATGTCTCAATATGAAGTCCCAGGCACATGTGAAACTGCTGAAATCACCTGTAACTGTACAGCTTGGACTTTGTCAGTCTGCTTCGATCACTACTAAAAGAAATAAGCAGCTCCAGGCTTAATTAAACATTTACCTCTAATCTCTCTCACTCAAAGCTCCAAATTATTGAAAAGAAAGCAGTGTTTTTCTGTGAAATTATCCAATCCCCAGTTTATAACTATGGCATCTATATCAACAATTCACTTCATCTGGGCTCCTACAAAAACGAGACAGGTGAGTACAGCCAACTGGACACTGACTTACTGGACTCGTTAAATTAGACGAGCTAATCCTGATATCTTTGGTTAAGGTATTTGCAACTTTCCTTTTCTTTAATTCCTCAATGTGTACCACACAACATTCCCTCCAGGTTCTGAATCCAGTAACAAGCCTTACTTAATTTTTACTGCGGAGAGTTTGCTGTGGGTAATTGTTACAATTGAACTGATCTAAAAAATTAGACACTGATGTATCTCCATTTTAAAAAAAAACCAAAGATACCCAATTTTAATCTTTGAGATCAGCCTTACAAGATCTATTAATTGCCAATTCCACTCCCCCCTGCCCAGTAACAAGCTGAACCCAATGGTCCTTATGTATATTACCTTGCTTAGCCCAACCGGTTAGATCACCGTGTCCTGGGGGCTCAAAGCCTTCAATGTCTGATTGAAGCTCCTTGAACATGTTTTCCAGGCTGTATGAAGACAAGATAGTTTCTGGTAATCTCAAATAGATTAGTCAACACGAAATAAAAAAAAAAAAAAAGGCTTCATTCCTTTACGTCAACTCCTTCAGGACCATCAGATCCACTCACTTTAATCAGACAGTAAACTTCCTTAGAGTAGGATTCCCCTCCTGGCCTCACATTTAACTTACTGTAAAGTACTGCAGCATCTCACACTCAAAACTTTCGGCATGACGTCACAATTATTATGTAACAAAATTGAGACCATCTCAGTGAAGCCAGCTCTCATGTATTTAAAATGCATTTTCAAAAGGAAAAAAATGCTACTCTCCCTTACATGCTCAATTTTCTCTTTTTAGAGATGGGACTAAGCAAGAAGAAACAAGACAACCCAAGCCCTGACCTGTAATTTACAACAGCCATTATTCCTTCACTCAGTATTTACTAATCCTGACTGGAAAATTCACGTGAGGGGGCATAGGATCAGGCTTTGTGAAGTTGCTGTCATGTAACGTAGGGTATGCAGGGTAGTTTGATCTTAGTAGGATAATAGGTCGGCACAACATCGTGGGCTGAAGGGCCTGTGCTGTGCTGTACTGTTCTATGTTCATCAAATAATCCACCAAATCAACGAACAATTGGGGAAGCTGGGGTCTTTGAAATAATAATCAGTGACAGTGAGCATCTCTGATCTAGGTCCAGCTTTATCTCCCCTACCCCCGTTTAATAATCACAGAGATCCCAGAGCTGCTCTTAAAATCAGAAAACCACGCATTCAGAAAAGAATGCGCACCCAGTGCTAGATGCTGTTAAAGGTAACAAATGCTTGGAGGGAGAAGCGCCAAACAGGTTTCAAACGTTTGGGATTGGGATAGGGATATTACAAAAGGACAAATCATATTGTTAAGTTCCCTCTCTACTCAGGAACAGCACGTTTTCAAACCCTGCTTCCAAAGCTCTATTTAAATAAAAAGGGCAGGGTCATTCAGTTACACTGGGTTATAGCTGCAGCTGCCTTCTAACCAACTACCTTTCAGACACAGGTTGGCGAGCTATGGTGCACAGGCAAGGTCAGAAAGCATCCTATGCCAACATCCACCACAACATTGTAAGTGGCACTGGAATGGTTTATTTTTTCTTTATTCATTAACAGGTTGTGGGCGTTGCTGGCTAGGCAGCATTTATTGCCTATCCCTAATTGCCCAGAAGGCAGTTGAGAGCCAACCACATTGCATGGGTCTGGAGTCACATGTAGGCCAGACCAGGTAAGGATAGCAGGTTCCTCCCTTAAGGACATTAGTGAACTAGATGGGTTTTTCCGACAGTAGATAACAGATTCATGGTCATTATTAGAGTCTTAATTCCAGATATTTTATTGAATTCAAATTCCACCATCTGCTGTAGCGGAATTCGAATCCGGGTCTCCGGATTAACAGTCCAGTGATAGTACCACTAGGCCATTGCCTCCCCAGAGGGATAGAAGCTTTGCCAACTTCCCTGAACCAGGGGACAAGGCAGCCAACTGCCTTGCCTAAAATCAGAGGCTGCTTCTAGGTCTCAGACTGCTGGCTGATGTAGTGGATACTGAACACCTGACAGACAAAAAAAAAGTAGTGACTTCATTTAACATGCTCCTGGGCTGGTTTCAATTGTGGGTTTGGTGTACAGTAGTTCTGCTCTAGTTGCCCGATCCTGGTGATAAAACAGGCTGAGGAAGAGGATGGGAAGTGTCTACAAATTGATGCTCTGGCTTTCACAAGCATGGGGGCAGGCTCAATGTAGCCAATGGCCTTTTCTTACCCAACAACTGGTGTATGCAATCAGGAAACCTAACCAGAGACCTTCTTGGCTATCCATCTTGGACATTAGCAATCCGAGAATTGTAACTCCTTGCCCAGTTCACAAAGAGGAGATTTACTGGCCAAATGCTTACCCTTTTAAAATTTCAATAAGGGTCTAGCAATTTAGAGACAGAACCTAACAACAGAAAGTATTTCCTCAGAGCTTTGTGTGAGGCAATGACATACCTGGGGGGTGGTGGCACTGGGCGCTTTACACTGAAGCACAGCCCATGAGCCTGGTTCGGTCCATGGTACGGATCCTGGCCAAGAATAACCACCTTCACCTGGACAAATACAAAGCTGCCTTTTACTCCATTATTCGACATTCCAAGGACAAACCGTCATGTTCAGTGTTTAACGTTTTTGCCACCAAGCTAGTCTGAATTTAAAAAATTTTGAATCGTCAAAAAAAAAAAAAAAAGGGGAGGTTGCCACAATATTTCTGCCCATGGCCCTAAACCAGGGCAATAAACCACATTGCAGGATCTAACAAAGCTACCTCCCCTTCACATGGGAAGATCCAGTATCAAAAGAAATAGATGCCACTCCCCCTGTTCATCTTACAGCAGCTCGGGGCGGGGGGGGGGGCGTTGGGTGGGGGTGCAAGTGTGGGGGTGCATGCATGTGAGCATGCAGGGGGCAAATTTCATTTCTCACTTTATTGTTCGATTAGATATGGGTGCCAGTAGCAAGGCCAGAATTCATTGCCCACTCCCAGTTTCCACAAGTGCCTTGTTTAGGCACTTTCAAGAGTATTTAATAGCAAACCACGTTGCTGACAGAGTCTGGAGTCACACGTTGGGTTGGCATGGCGGCTCAGCTGTTAGCAATGCTGCCTCACAGCACCATTCCACATTCAGGCAATCGCGCATGGAGTTTGCACATTCTCCCCATGTCTGTGTGGGTTTCCTCTGGGTGCTCTGGTTTCCTCCCACAGTCCAAAGATGTGCAGTTAGGTGGATCGGCCATGCTAAATTGCCCATAGTGTCCAGTGTTGTGCAGGCCAGGTAGATTAGGCATGGTCAATGCGGGCACCAGGGGGGGGGGGGGGGGGGGGGGGGGGGAATGGGTCTGCTGTCTGGAGAGGGCAGTGTGGATTATCTGGCAAAGCTTACCATAGACCATGCCCCTACAAGATGGGAGAAAAGACCATTTTACTATAGGGGCTTTGTTGCCTGCAACAAGGTGTTGCTGACCATTTGAGCTCTGATCCCCATTCTCAAAGCTTGACACCATAATTGTCTCATTCATGGTTCACAATAGACAATGTTTTTCCAACTACAAACTAAACTTCAAAAAATCCCAAAGTAACGGAGTTAAATCCAACGGGCTGATGAGACAGCATGAAGGAAAAAAACACGCTGAAAAGTCTGAGAAAGAAAATGCTGCACCTTAAATCAGAAGAAAGGAATTTGTGTTTGATTGAGCTTAGAAAGAAACTATTTTTTCCCCTTGCCATCATACATTTTCAGTCTTAATTCCTGAAGGAACCAGGGAGGTGGTGTTAATTAGAAGCCAGCTCCATGATGAGAGCTTGTATGCAAAACTACTACCCCCCAGCATCACAGGTTAAAGCAACTGGAAATGTGACAATGGCACAACAGGGCAAGTTTCTTCCTCTCGGTGCAAAAACTAGTACTTTACAATTAACTCCTGAAATATGTTCAAGACGATAGTCTAAAAAAAGATGTTTCAAAATAAGGGCTCTCCTCCCATTTCACTGGCAATCCTCCAACCTGCCACAAGTTACGATTCACGTTTCTTTTTAACAGGCATTTTACAGACCCCACAAAACAGAGTTCCCAACAAACCAAATGAATGTTCTCTGCAAGATCCAAGTAAGCATACAACTGGCTGAGCCATTATCCTTTCATTATGAACATCTGTTTTGAAGATGTTCTTCAGAAAAAAAAATCCAACAATCTGCTGCAATTTTGCTGTAAAAATGTTCTTCAAAAAAGATATGGAGCTGATGGACTGAAAGTCTTCATGGCACAAAAGACCAAAAAAATTGTGATGTCATGTTGTTAAGTTATTATTGTTGCCTTTTGATCAAGATTTATACTGTTGATGGATAACCTATAGCGCACCCTTAAGTAGCTAACTTTAGCTGGTTGCTCACATGCTTGGGTTTGCAGATGGATTTGAACATAATCTCAGACACCAGTTGAGCACAGCAACAGCCCTCTGTTGAAAGTACCATATTTCAGAGATGATGCTGCAGGAGGCCCCATCATTTGCCGAGGAGGGTTAGAAAAACATTAACAACGCATCGCCGGCATGATGGTTAGAGCTTCTGGTATTCTGGACATTAATTTTCTTTCTCCAATCTCTGGTTGGGAGAATCTGAGATAACAAGGTATAGAGCTGGATGA